ACCTCAACGCAATCCAATGAGAGCATCCAAGAGTTAAGTAGCATACACACGGTTAAGCTAATATGTCGTGGGACCAGGAGGCAAGGTCATGTGGTCTGACCTCAGAACCCACAGCCTCAACCAAGACCCTTTACCACTTCCTGAAACCGACCCTTAGGAGTTTGTGACAAGTTAATAAAGATAATTTCTAGCCCATTAAAGGAAATGGACACAGGGCTGCAGCACTCAGGAACACACCCGTGAGCACCCATGTTCGGACTCAGGATGTGAGCCCATCATTTCAATTACACAGCAATTACACACATGCACTGGGCTGACTTGGAATGAAGAGAGTGGTTATTTAATTTTAAAATATGAGGGGGGCAGATAATGGACAATAGGTGAAAAAGCATCCAAATGACCATTTATGGGTGATGGGTAAACAAGATGTGGTAGAGGCACACCATGAAATATGACTCCCTGGTAAAAAAAAAGGAATGTGTTCTGATACCAGTTACAGCTTGGGTGAACTCTGAAGCCATTATGCTGTGTGGGGAAAAAAAAAAATCTACCCAGGAGAGCCCAGACAGTAGATGAGCCCATTTGTATAAGGTCTCTAGAATAGGCAGACTTTAGAGAGTGGGTGTTCAGTGGGCACAGAGTTTCAGACCAGGAAGATGGAAATAGCCTAGAGCCTGAGGATGGTGAGACAGCAGTGGGAATGTGTGTCAGGCCCGCTCAACTCAAAACTTGCAATTTACTTAAGTGATACATTTTATGCCATGTGTATTTTACCACAATAACAGTTAAAAACACAAATACATCGGGTGCAGGTGGCCTGATGGGCTTTAAATGCTACATCTGCTTCATGCTCTGTGGAGCAAAGTGGTCCCCAAAGGGATGGGGGAGTCATTTAGGAGGCTGGGACATTCTTCATGAGACAATGAAAGGTTCATGTTGGGCTCAAGGTCACCTTAAAAGCAATGGGAAAACAGGCTGTGAGCGATCTGAAAGGCTATTCCCCGCTGAGTTCAAATATCTAAGAAACTAGGTGAGGTCGGCCGCATCCAGAATGAGGGCAGAGCCTAAAGGCTGAACTGGGGCAGAGAAGGTGGCCAGAGATGCAGATTCCCTGAGACTTCGGTTTCAGCCACATACCTGGCTCAGAGCAAGTGGGGAGGATCCCACCTCTAAAATCAGGATTGTCATCGATGGCCCGTAAGATACAGACTGCTCACTTAGTGAGCATTCGTCGGTTAATCCGTGCATCATTCCTGTGAGGTTTTATTTCAGCATGACGCTCATTTTACAGAGAGGGAAGTGGGGGCTCCAAGAAGCCAAGAGCAACTCACTGCCACCACAATGATGAGGCCGACTCTGGGTCTCTGATCCAAGACCTACCGTCTGAACTACTGGAGGTGGTTAACTAACCTGACTGGCACGGGGGATGCACTGGGCAGTTGCCACTCTTTGCACGCCAAGTATAGCTCCAGCTTGTCTGGCATACTCAAAGCTTTATAGTTTTACCCAGCACCCTTAGGAGTGAACAATGCCACAAAACTCAGCATTACCCAGAAGGCCACGTACTGGGACATTCATTAAGTCCCTATGACATTCTCTGTCCAGTTCCACACTCCCCAACACTAGCAAGGCTGATCTGGGGTACGGATCACAAACGTTCTCAGCTCACTGAGTCACCTTCAAACTGACTTGCAGCCACAAAACTGCAAAACTTCAAGCTCCCCTCACCCCCTCCCCATCTCCTGGGAGAGCCAGGCAGCCAGGTCCTGCCCAACAGGACCTGGCAAGAAGCCATCACTTCAAATTGGGCTTTCAGAGGCCATTTAAGGCAGGAGTAGGAAAGTCTTCTCCCTGACGAAAACCATCTGAACTACTGAGAGAAAAATCAATCGTGATCACGTGTGTAGAAAGGAGCTTAAATTAGGGTTTCTTCAGAGTGAGAAATCTAAAATGACTCTCTTGTCACAGCGTTCAGGAAACGCAGCCAATAAAAACAATACGTTACTTTTTAAGAAAAATCATCCCTCAGTCTTACATTTACATCCAATTAAGGGAGAAAAGCAAAGAGAAGACTGTGTAAGAGGAAGAAGGGAGCTGGAAGGCAGGGGTGGTCTCCCTGGACTCAGCCTGCCACCCTGTCAGAGGGCCTGGCCTGGCCTCACAGGCCAGCTCTACACAGCTGAGGGTTCAGCCCTCTCAGGCCTCAGCCCATCTCCCCTTTCTGTGCTGCTAGAGAACACAGAGAACCTTCGGAAAGTATATGACATAACAGAAAAGAAAAACCACTAAGACTCACCAGCTATCACTAGCACTGTCCTTTGCTTAAAAATTAAAAAAAAAAAAAGTAGTATTTGGGGCTAGAAAGATGGCTCAGAGGTTAAGAGCACTCACTGGCTGCTCTTCCAGAGGACCCAGGTTTGATTCCCAGCACCCACCTGGTGGCTGAGGTTCCAAGGCAAGCTGATGCTCTCTTCTGCCCCCTGTAGGCACTGCATGCACATGATATACAAACATACAGGCAGGCAAACCACTCATATGCATAAATAGAAATAAATCTAAAAAGCCAGTATTTATAGCATAAACGCCTTTGTTTCTTCCAGTATTCACTTGATTTTTTAGAAGCATTTTTTGAATCATGAGGCTGTTCCTTTGGAACAGAGTCTTCCTATGTAGCACAGGCTAACCTATCCTCCCGCCTCATCCTTCATAGCACTGGGAGCTGTGTCATTGTGTCATGTTTGAAGATACGTTCTTTGAAAGGTTATACAATAGTCCCTCACAGGAAGGCATCCCAACAACATATTTAAACTTCCTTGTTGTTTGTTCTTAAGATAACTTAGCCTATGCTAGTCTGGAACTTGCTTTGTAGCCTAGGCTAGCCTTAAATTCCAAATCCTCCTGTCTTACCTTCCTGAGTGCTACCATTACAGGACTGAGGCACTATACCAAGTCTAAATTTTTCTTCTTAGCTGGTAGATAGAAATGTAGATGGTACATACTGACCGGCTATCACACGGCATTTCAAGAGCTGTGTGTGCTGCATAATGTTCACACCGGCTATATGTTTGTAGCTTCCCAAGCATTTATCATTGCTTTATGGTGAAAGCATTCAAGAGTCTCCTTGTAGATTTTTAAAATACATGGCACATTACTGCTATTATCCACAGGCACCTGGCTGGGTAATCATCACCAGAACGTCTTTTTCTTTTAATCATAGTCACTTATTCATTTTGTGTGTGCATGCATGTGTGTATGTGTATGTATGTGTGTGCTCACACCTAACTTCTTACTTCTAGCTGACTGTAGCTTGCTGTATAAAACATACATTTTCTATTATATGGTTAGATTTTTTTTGCTATTACAGATGATATCTTACTGAATACACACACAGACACACACACACATACATACATACACACACACAACTTCTTTGGGATAAATTCCAGCAAACTGAACTGTGAATGGACATTTCTAAGATGCCTGACACCAGCTGCCAGATACAGCAAGGCTGCACTGGTGCAGCTCTAGACATGCATGGGCCAGCTAAGACCACAGTAACATCAGCTAACATCAGGACCAGTCCTGTTGCTAAGGCAAAGCAGCTCCCGCTTCTGCAGGTGGAAATGAACCTTGGAATTATTCTGGAAGCTCCCGTGCCAGCACTGGTCACACCACCTCGCAGTGTGAACGTCTGCTGTGACCTTGCTGTGACCTTGGGGATACAGGCAGAGATTAGCCCTACTCCCCTCTGCATCCTCCTATCCAACCTGTTCCTCTTCCATTAACAGTTCCCAAACTATTTTTAATTGATTTTTAAAATGTTTATATGTGTGGATTTTCTTGCCTGTATGTATGTTCTGTACATCACATGCAAGCCCACAGAGATCAAAAGAGGGTTTCAGATCCCCTGAAACTAGAGGTACAGCTGTTTTTGAACTAAAATGTGGGTGCTGGGAACTGAACCCAGGTCCTATGCAAAAGCAAACAAGGAATCTGGAATTCTTAACCACTAGGCCATCTTTCCATCCCCATTTTTTTTTTTTTTAAGAAACAGAGTCACAGTCTTCTGCCGCCCAGTCTGGCTATAAATTCCTGGGCTCATCAACCATACCTCAGCCTTTCAAGTAGCTGGGACTGCAGGCGGGCCACCACCTGCTTTTAATTTTTTTTTTTTTTTTTTTTGAGGGAGGGGATGAGACAGAGTCTCACTGCACAGCTCTAGCTGTCCTGGAATTCAGTATGTAAGCTAGGCTGGCCTCAAACTTGCAGAAATCCACCTGCCTCAGCCTCCCAAGTAGCTTGGACCACCACCTACTTTTAAACTCTTCATATCCCTGTCCTTACCAGAAAGTCACATGTCCCAAGAATCTGAAGCGAGAAAGATCTGGGACCTTGGGCCAGTTCCACACCCTCTGGTACTCCAGAGTCCTAGTCTGTGACATGATAGTAAGGCTACCTCCCTCTGGAGTTACTGGAAACATTAGTGAGTGAATAGAGCATAGAAGTGTTTAGTCACTGTGATAAGAACCTAGAAGACACAAAACAAATGATAGTTCTTTCAGAAAAATTATAATACATAACAAAACCACCAAAAAATTGTCTAATCCTCTGCCACTGGAGGAGATTAAAGACTCAAACAGCTGTCTCACTTGTCTGACACTTATCCAGCCCCAAATGCCTGCAGAGACTCAAACCGTGATGTGTGTGCCAAACCCTGAACTTCAGCCCCAGGGCAAGGGAGGACAGTAAGCAGGGCCAGTCTGGCAGGCGGGCAGCTGGTCAGTGGAGTTCAGGATCCAAATGAGCTATGCTCAGAGGGGTGAGGACAGGCCACAGCAAACCAGAAAGAAGCTGCTCGTCAGGCCAGGGGTCCAGAGTACCATGAGCCAGCAGGGAAGCGGTTCAAGGTGCCACTGGCTCCTCCCAGCAGGGTCAATCAGGTGACTAAAATGACAACCCTCTCCAGCTCCCCCCCCCACCCCCTCCCCTGCCCCAAGCAAAGCTGCCATTGTTCACAGGGACAGCAGAGGTGAGTCACTGTGGCATTGTCCACCACTCTATCAGCAGGAAACAGCTGGACTGGCCAATACACCAAATGCAGGAAACCTCAATCTCCCCAGGGCCCCCCAGGGCCCTTCCCTGTTTAGACACCCAGCATCCTGCCTGCCTGTCCCCTAGAGACCCCTGACCAGCCCCAGACAACTGAACAGACAACTCTGTTTCCTGCGTCCATGTTTCTGAGGTAAGTAAGATCAAGCTGCATTTTGGAGACTCTGAAGTGCAGAGAGCTGGTGTCTCCTGGATGACGCCAGCTAGTCAGTAGGGTGATGGGACATGAAAACAGGCAACAGGCAGAACGATGACAGTGCATTAATTCAGAAAAGACATTTTCCCTAGACTAATGCCTGCGCAGGTGGGCACCAGCCCAATGCCACAGCGTGTTCAGACAGAACAAGGACCATTCTGGCTCTGAAAAGGGGGTTTCTGCCCAACTTCCTTATCTTAGACTTGACACAGACTGGAGCAGATAAAGGCCCTTTCCATGCTGGGATTCATAACCAGCATGGAAACAAACATTCAAAACAAACCAGAAGGTGGTTTGTGACCTTAAATCAGACAGCCTCACCTGTATCCTATCTCTAACACTTCTTAGCGGTGTCCCCTGGAGCGCACTCTACTTGATGTCCTTTTATGGAGGCCTATAGCAAGTGTGTGGGGGGAGGGGGGAAGCAGAATGTAAATACGTGAGGCCAGAGTAGTCACCTCCCTACACTATCAAGACTAAATGATCCAGCACTTCAGGGGCAGAGGCAGGGGAAACTCCGTGAGTTCAAGGCCAGCCTAGTGAGTTCCATGACAGGGCTATATATACTGGGGTCTTGCTTCCAAAACAAATGACAGACAGACAGACAGACAGACAGACAGACCAGGAAAAATCAGAGCCAAGTATCAGTATGAGCTGAAGTTCAAGTCTGTCAGGGTGAGCACAACTTTCAACTTAAGGAGCCTCAGTCCTCATGTGTGTAACTCTCCCCTGTGCTGAGGTATGAGCTTTAACACTGAACAGTACTACTGGGGCCTGAATACATCCATGTGTCCACATGAGACTCATCATAGTCTAAACCTTAGCCTCTAGGGCTGGGCATGGGGGGGTCACACACACCCTTAACTAGGCACCTGAAAGACAGAAAGCGGAAAGACCAAGAGTTCAAGGTCATCATCTTTGACCGCCAGCCTGGTTTTCAGGAGACTCTCTCAAAAGAAAACAAAATCTCCATCTCCTCATCTGAGGATTACAGTAAAAAACAAAAAACAAACAAACAAAAAAGGGAGGAAGTGAGGGGATCAAGACTGCCCAGGGTTTCATGAAGCCACTTCAAGAAGGTAAGCGACAATTAACTTAGCAGAGCAGAAAGGGACTTCAGGAAGATCCACCCAAACTTTCATTCTCCCTAGAGGAAATATCACTTGACAAGGCCCTGGGACTGGCCCACAACCTAGAAGGGAGCCGGTGACAAGTGCTGAGCCGCCCCCAGCCCCACGCAGGTCCCCTGAATCCAGTCTCTCTTGCACATGGACTTAACAGTATTATCACCCCGTGCTGGACAGCTGTACCTCATGAGCACTGGTCTCTAAACTATCATGAAGTCCCTTCCCTGGGTGGCCCCACAGCAGGCGGGTGATGAATCAAGGTATTCCATCCAATCTGCTGAATGTACGTCTCCTTTCTTTGTCTGGGCCTCATAGCTTATACTGAGTGTGACTCACGGTCTGCACTATTTGCCCAGTCTTGTTCTATCCCAGCCTGAAGTAGGTGGGAAGAAAAGGCTGGGCACAGGAAAATACAGGGACAGTAATAGGGAGAGAGAAAGGACAAGGAAGGCCTGGAAAGCATGAGGCATACGTGGGACACAGTTCAGGCTGAGCTGTGACTGGAGGACACAGGAGCTGGGCAGGTGGGCTCAGAAGGGAAGATGGGGCCAGAGCAGGCCAGTGATCCACAGCAGGAGAGACCTAGAGCTGCTGAACTATGCTTCCTGCCACTCAAGAGTCCTGATGAGCCAGCAAGGAGCAGGTCCTGCAGGTTTAACCAGCTTGGTTCCAAAACCCTGAGCTTCTGGGCAAATGAAAAGCCCCACCCCTGGGACCCTGTTTGAACTTGTTCTTTCTCAAAAAAAAAAAAAAAAAAAGTGCTGCCCTTGAGGGCTCTAGGAATTAGGAATTTGGACTTCTTCCTGCCCTCTAAAGCATACAGTAAAGCTTTCCAGTTCATACCAGCTGAAGAGCAAACCTCTGCTGGAGACAGAGCAACCTGGCCAACCAGCTCTCTCTTCTGAGGCAGGCAATTCAAGTGGAAGAACTTTCAAGGCTGAAAGGGCCTTAGTGACCAGGCACAAAGCCCTGGGGTTACAGCAAGGCCCAGGCCTAGATAGTGACGTGATGAGCCTGAGGCCATGCAGTCAGTCAGTCAAGGTAGACAGGTACCAGGGTAGGAGCCCGTGCCCACCAGGCTTGTACCTTTTCTGGGAGGGCACTTCAGCACGGTTCTTTCACACAGGAATACTTCCTAAGCACAGCATGCTGTCTCATGCAGCTCATCTCTTTGGGGGCTCTTAGAAAAATCTGTATTTTGAACAAAAGCCCAAGGTCACCCACGCCTTTTGATGCAGGTTTCTTTCGCACTTAATGGCTGTAGAGAGGAGGCAAGATGAAAGAAGGGAACGGAAGCTCCGTCCATGAGGGGGAAGCAGGTACGTACTCTGTGGGGAGGACCACAGGTTAAATACACTGTCCCGCCCTCCAGGCACAGGCAGGGTGGGTGGGAAGGAGGGGGGAGCTGGGCTTCCACAGGTACACATGCATCATGTGATTACCAGGCCTCTCAAAAAATTCAAAGGATAACTGAACTTCCACAGGCGTCCCTGGGCTCAGAGCCAGGTCCTTATATGGAAAGTAGAGACTTGGGGGTCCCCCAGGCTTCAGTTTGCTTCCCTGACTGTGTAGGGAGTTAAGAAGCTTCATCACAGCCTTGAGTTACCCCCTAAAACACATGCTAGGCACCCATCCAGCACACATAAGGTACAGCAGAGGTGGCTAGTTATTCGTGTCACTTTGTGTTTGTCCTGATACTTAACACACACCATGCCATGGTCTAAATCCCCTGAGGGCAAAGGACACAACAGCTCACCCACCACAGGGTCCGAGAATACACTTGGGGAATTTTTCATTTGTGGGACTTTATGAACACATCCCCCTTGGTTGTGAGTGGGTTAACCTAAGGGGCTTCGTCTGCCCACAGTACCCCGGGGTCAAGCTAAGCCCTCTGTCTATGCCATTCTGAAATCGCTGAACTCCTCTAGAAGGCTGCCAGACCCTTCACCCCCAGCTTCCCCCCACCCCACCCCCGCTGTCAATCAATGTTCTGCTTGGCTCCCCAGCCCTCCTGTCAAGAGCTCAATGTCACCTGGGTGAGCTCCATAGGTCACAGATGAAGAGACTGACTGGTAGCCTAAGGCTGGTTCTCACGGTGTCTGGGTGGTGATTTGCTGAGCAGAAGAGATCAGAGTACACGCTAAGGAGGCCAAAGGCTGCCAAAGCAAAGGGTATGGTAGTTTCCCATATTCAACAGCAAATACAGAACAGGTATTCTAGTTTGGGGGTGGCAGGGAGAGTAATATACAAGTCACATCCTCCTCTTCCTCCTCCTCCTCTCCTTCCTAGCTCCCCTCATTGCCCCTGCCACCACAGACAAGTGTGCACTGCTTGTCACATGCCAGCCAGGGCTCCGGATGCTGTGCTACTAACTCAGTATCTGAAGGCCAGGTCCTTCAGGTTTAGCATTCCCACTTTATGTTAAGGGAAAGCCCAAAGTCACAGGAGGGCTGTCAGGGTATGAACAAGGTCTGTGATGTTCTCACACAGATAATGAGATATTAGCGGGCTTAGAGGACACTAGGCCTGGACCCCTCCCTCACAAGCCATCAGGAACTGTAGAGTTTTAAGTTTGGGGGGGGGTTGTTTTGTTTTTATTACTGGTCAAAGGAATGGGATGTGAGTCAGACCTCTGGCCCTGGGTGGAGATGTGACATCCTGAACTTCCCAGAAGGTCATTAACAGAGAACTATCTAACCCTGGTTCTAGAAGCCCTAACTAAACCTTGTAAGATTGCTGTCTAGCAGAAGGCCTGACATACCATCATACCCTTCTGTAACAGCCAGTCTGGACAGGTCTGTCAATCACCTGAATCAGCACAAAGCCTTTCAAGAAAAGCTGTTTTAGAGCAATGGTTCTCAACCTTCCAAATACTTCAACCCTTTAATACAGTTTCTCATGCTGTGGTGAGCCCCCCAACCATAAAATTATTCCAATGCTACTTAACAACTGTCATTTTGCTACTGTTATAGACTATAATGTAAATGTCTGACATGCAGGATATCTGATATGCAACCCCTGTGATAGGGTCACTCAACCCACAACCAAAGGGGTTGGGACCCACAGGTTGAGAACCACTGTTCCAGAGCGTGGCCAAAAGGTTTGAGGTGTGCCTCAAATGTAGAGCAGCACAGAGATCCCTTGCCGTTGTCCGTCACGCCTGAGAGTGTGCTGGGCTCTGAGTGGCCCCTTTGGCCACTACCCAACTTTGAATGTGCTCTCCTCTCCTCTGCAACAAACGCTACTCCCTGTGACTCATGTGACTTCTTCCCAGGATCACAAGGACTGGGGGCTGAGTGGAGGCCACAGTAACAGTGCTGACCTAGTCTGCCGTGCTTTCCCCTGGACCCCGTCACCTCCAGACCACCCTGATCTACCAAGCCACAGGACCCTAGGCAAACTCTGAGCTCATGGTACCTACCAGCACAACTCAGATCTGCTGAGGGAGGCCCACTCAGCTAATGTTCTGGGTCTCATCTGTCTTCAGCCTCCAGGCAGGGATGAGACAAAAGAGAGAGAGGCAGGGAGGCCCAAATCCCACAGGAGGTTCTGTTCCCACCCCGTCAGAGTCCCCAACAGATGGACAGGGGACTCTGAATGACTAGCACACCACAGAAGGCTGGAGGGATGAGAATCAGCTCAGCTGGAACATGGGAAAGAGCCTGAGGGAGAGGGAAGTACCCCAAACCCTGTTCCTTCATGTGGGGAGCTTTGAGCAGCATGGCCTGGTGTGGGCGGCCCTCTCAGTTCCTCCTGGTTACAAAACTACCAAGTTTTTGTTTCCTTTCTGAAGATTTATTTCACATATGTAAGTCTTGCCTATATCTATATCTGTGTAACACGTCCACGCCTTAGTGCCCACAGAGGCCGAAAAGGCTGCGATCCCAAGACTGGGTTTACAGATAGTTGTAAGCTATCAGCTAGGTGCTGCAAACCTAACCTGGGTCCTCAACAGGAGCACCCTGTGCTCATAACCACATAGCCATCTCTCCAGACCCCAAACTATAAGGTTTTTCTTCCATGGATAGCAGCAGAGAGACTGCTGGATCCACACGGATTGGAGTCACCCAAACTGGGGAGCCACCCTCAAAGATGAAACCAAACATTAATGATCAACTACAGCTCTTCTTGTCATTTTTGCTGATGTGCCTTTATCAATAGGCTGTTTGTCCCAACCTCCCTCTACCAGCTCAAAGGCTCAGCCCTGTCAGGATGGGGGAGCAGTGAGGAACACTTCCAGCAGGGCATGCTGCCCATGTAACGCCCATCAGGGGGCCCAGGGCTACTGGTCTGAGCTGACAGAGAGAGGGACTCTGGCAGGCCTCACCTGCTACTTGATTCTTGCTATCACGCAGTGACACGTGTGCACTGTCTTCCACAAAACCATCCTCCTGAAAAGGTGAAGATTCCTCGTCCAGAAAGTTTACAACTCATTCTGCTGCGCCAACAGAAGTAGTAGTGATATGGCCCCGCCCCTCCAATCCACCTCCGACATGGAGGCCAGAAAGCTACAAACCCATTACACTCTGGAGTGCGTCCAAAGGGGACAGGCACAGAGACGAAGTTAGCCAAGAGGCAGCTGAAGACACTGGCCAGCAGGCCATGGGGGAGTGGTTGTCAAATATTCCCAGAGTTGTCCCACAGACCACAGAGCCAGCTTGCTCTCCCAGGTCCTGGCAGCAGAGCATGGCCAAAGGAACAATGTTCCAAAAAAGAGAAGCTGAACTCCAGAGCTGCCTGGCAGCTAAAAGGAGTCTCCCAGTTATGGAAATGCCAGCGGGGGCCAGGCCCTGATTGGACTTCAGTGTGAAGGACACTACAAGATGAAGATTCTCTTGGACACTCGATGTCTTCCTATCACCTTTTTTTGTTTGGTTGGTTTGTTTTGGTTTGGTTTGGTTTGGTTTGGTTTGGTTTGGTTTGGTTTGGTTTGGTTTGGTTTTGGTTTGGTTTTCAAGACAGAGTCTCTCTAAGAAGTAGCACTGGCTGTCCTGGAACTTGTTCTGTAGACCAGGCTGACCGCAAACTCACAGAGATTCGTCTGCCTCTGCTTCCTGAGTGCTGGGGTGTTGGGATTGAGCCACCATATTAAAAATAACTTTTCTTTTCCTTTGTTGTCTCTGAGGCTTACTGCCTAAGTCTGCTAACTAAAGCCTAGTCCTGGAAGCTTCCAGCCTCCACACAATCTTACCTGGACTTCGAATGTTTTCAGCCTCTGAGACTCACTGCTGAACAAGCTCACTCTTTCTGGTTCTTACTGATCTCTGGCTGGTTGGCTCAAACTGTTCTGGCTCAAAACTCCTCTCCATACTGACTGATCCATTCAATCTGGCTTCTGTCAGCTTCTCCTGAATTGCTTTGCTTGGCCTTATACTAACTTTGGCAATATGTTCTAATCTTCTGGCTCCTCATTCTCTGGCTTGTTCCGCCTCCACCTGTGTCTACCTTGTTCTCTCTCTCTGCAACCTGTCTCTTTACAGCTGTCTTGGTAAAACTGCCTCCTCTTTCTCTCTGCCCTGCCCCTCCAGTAGCTTTCCTTTCCTTTCAGTTGGGCATATCCCATCCTATCAAATCTTTCTCTGTTCATCACTTTGTCTGCCTCTCAATTACAGTGGGATAATTGTCAAACATGGTGCTTCCTCCTAAAACCTAACTTTACCCTCATTGTTTGGGAGTAAAGGTGTGTACCAAGGGCATGTCTGTATTCTAGCCAGAGGGATTCAAGGTGTGTGCTAAAGCCTGAGCCACACCACAACTAGAAACAGATTTTATTTTCAGTAAATAACACAATTCTCAGGGTTCACAGTGTGATCAAATATCCTGTAATATGCCACCATCTGTCTTCCTAGAGCCTCTTCACACACATACACACTCACACACACACACACACACACACACAGATTCACAGACATAAAAAATAAAAATGTTTTTGAAAAGAAGTTCAAAGTGGGGTAGGGACATGGCTCAAAAGTTAAAAGCACTTATTCCTCTTGCCGAGGACAGAATTCAGTGTCTTATACCCACACGGCAGCTCACAACCATATGTAACTCCAGTGCCAGTGGATCCAATGCCCTCTTCTGAACTTAGAGGGAAATAAGCACACTATAGTACACATACATACATGTATACAAACACACACACACACACACACAAACCCATCAAGAACATAAAATAAAAATAAATCTAAAACTGTATTTGTTATTTAAAGGTTTAAGTTCAAGAACACCCTCGCCTACAAAAGAAGTTGAAGGCCAGCCTGGATTATGAAAGAAGACTGTCTTAACAAAGATTAACTTGAAGTGGTAGCTTGTTACTTTGTAACTACTTGGGATGCTGAGACAGAAGCCTTGCTTAAGACTGGGAGTTATGATCAGCCCAGGTAACTGTGCAAGACCCTATTTCAAAACCTCCACAAAACAAAACCCTGCACATCAGCCCTCAAGGCAGTGTAATCTATGAGTGAAAAGACAACTCTGCCTGTCAACTGAGCAGACAACACACACAAAATGTGCCCTTTTCAACGTTGGAACCTTCCTCAGTGGTTCGGGGTTCAGTCCCCCCCAACTCCATCTCACAAAGAAAGGAAATGAAATTCTGACACATTTTAGGACATGGATCCTGAGTTAAAGGCCAGTCACAAAATATCACATACTACATGACTCCATCTGGAAGAAACGTCCAGAGCAGGCAGATGTAGAGAGACAGAGTGCTGTCCAGGCCTGGGATTGGGAGAGAAGCTGGTAGAGGACGGGAGAGGCTGCGAATGGGATTTCTTTCTGGGCAACAAAAATGTTCTAGAAGTGAGAGTGGTAATGGTCACACAACAGAATATGCTAAAACAAAAACACCTAATTATATCCTTAAGATGGGTTAAGTTTTTAGGGAAATGAGCTACATATGAATAACGCAAACCAGCCAGCCCTCTTTCCTGATTTCAATACTTTACAGGGAATGTGATAAAGGACAGAGATTGAGGAGTTCATTACAGGAGAGCAACAACTCACTAGCTCTTGCCAGAGTCCAAGATGTCAATCAGTCATTCAACAAGTATGTATTGAAAACATAAGCCATGCATTACCCTACCTCGGGGGGTCAGGGGTCTGTGGGCCCAATCTAACCCACTGCCAATTTTTGTACAGCCTGCAGGCTAGGAATGGTTTCTATATTTTATAAGATTGAAAAAAAATCAAAAGCAGAATAGTATTTCATGACATGTGGAAATTATATGAAGTTTACATTTCGGCATCCATAAATAAATATAACGGGAAGGCGGCCATGCTCAGTCACTGGTGTATTGTCTGTGGACACATGTGTGAGACAGGGGCAGAGCTGAGGAACTGCAGCAGGGACCATACAGTCTGCAAAGCCTAAGATATTTACAAGCAGGTCCTTACAGCAAACATACCCGCCGCTACCAGTGGAAACACACACACTGACACACAGGAAGATATCTACGGCCCATGAGTACACAGAACACAGGGACCCACCCCGAACCTGGGCCAAGGAAGACTTCCCCCACAAAAGGGTCTGACTGTGAATATGGAGGAGGCAAAGGTCTTGAGGAGAGCAAGCTCTGGCTTGGAAAGGCTACTCAAAGCTCAAAGCGTACAAGAACAGGGTGGGGGCAGGGCTTGAGTGGCAGCCACAGTCCTCCCGTGCCAGTCCAGTTCATCTCCCTGGAGAATGTGGTAGAGGTCTGAGACTTGGTATCAGGAGACTTGTGCCAGGAGACCAGACAAGAATGGAGGGGGATGGAGCAGCTGACACGAAGTATTGATCACCCAACAAAGGACTAGTTGCTTGCTTTCCAGTGTCATCTCGGACACAGTAGAAAAAGATGCCCTTTGGTCTATGAGGAGAAATGGCAAGTGAATATCAAGCGCTCGCCGTTACCTCATGATCCTTCCCCTACAACAGACGCCTGCAATGTGCCTCTTTAGGGCTTCAGTGTGGATCTGCAATGTCCCCAGAGGCCTATGTGTTAGGGGGAGGCTTGGACCCCAGACCATGGCACTAGTACAGGCAAAATACACTGTGCCAGGGGAGAGCCTGGAGAAGGCAGCGGGCCAGCAGGGGAGTTTCCTTGCAGGGTGTATGCTGGGGCATCTGTTCCTCTCTGAATCTTTCCCTCTCTTTGCTTCCTCAGAGCTTCGCTCTGTCACATGTTTCCTGCCATGGCATGCTGTCTTGCCAGAGACCTGAAAGAAACAGAGCTAACTGATCATGGACCAAATCCTCCAAAGCCACAAGCCACCAAAGAGTGTTTCACCTCATCAGTGCATTCATCTCAGAGTCTTCACACAGCAAAGGAAAGCTGGCGAGTCTGCCAGACAGCCACAGACCTGCTTCCTCCTTCCCTGAGACTTCCATCACTCCCAACACACACACACACATATACACACACACACACACACATGGCCCACCACCATGCCACTACCTGCCCTGTGCCCTCCCCTGCTCCCTTCCCCCACCTCACCAGCCTCCCCCAACTGACAGAAGCACATTTGATGTTTCTTGACTGTGGTTGGGAGAAGGGGAAACTGAGACCCCAGTTGCCTTGTTAATGCTTCACTCAAATGCCAGCAGCTTCAAGGATCGCTAGGCCTGAGGAAAAGAGACGGAAAACACTCTAACACACACAGATGCAGTCACACACACACTTTCTCTCCCTCTCTCCTTCTCTCTCTCTTCTCTCTCTCTCTCTCTCTCTCTCTCTCTCTCTCTCTCTCTCTCACACACACACACACACACACACACAGGAACATACACACTCTCTCTCTTACACACACACACAGGAACTCTCTCTCTCTCTCTCTCTCTCTCTCTCTCTCTCTCTCTCTGTCTTTCACATGCACACACACACAAACACACACACACACACCACAAGAAATAGTAAAAACAGTCTCTCCCAAAAGTCTATCTCTCTCTCACACACACATGCACACACACACAAACACACACACACACCACAAGAAATAGTAAAAACAGTCTCTCACAAAAGTTAAACTATCACTAATGTCCTCAGAGAAATAAGAGGTAATAAATAGTGTATCCGTGATGCCACAACAGGGTGCTATCAAAGGAAGAGCTAGAAATCATAACATCTCTTGGAACTTAAAAAATATGCTAATTCAAATGAGAGTCGCAGCTGGGTGGGCAACACAGCATTAGAGAACTCTCCTACCCTACAGAAGGTCCTGGATTTCATGCCCAGGAACCTTCCCATCCCTCGCCAAAAAAGGCAGGAAGATAAAGCTGAGGAAAGATTTCTATGAAGCCCAATGGGTAAAGAACTTGCCACACATATGTGGGGCCTGAGTTCATCCCCCACACCCACATAAATCAGTCACTTAATGCAGGACTGTAGTACCACAACGCCTACAGCAAGACGAGGGGCAGGGAAGAAAGCATCACCTGAAGTGTGACCGTTGGCCCCGCACAGGCAGCAGCAAACAAGAGAGCCTGTCTCAAGGAATAGCAGGGGAGGACCGACCTCGGCACACATGTGCACCTGCATGCTCCTGCATGAACCCCCCTCTCTCTCTCCCTCCCTCCCCCCTCTCTCTCTCTGTGTATGCATCACACACACACACACACACACACACACACACACACACAATGAAAGAAAATTCCCCTCAATAGAACAGCATCGATTTCACAACTAAAGAAATCCAGAATGCCTAACACATTGGGTGAGAGTTGACCCCCATAAGGCTTGGTAGTATTTCACAAAACATCAGATTCCAGAGCCAAAAGTCATGCCACCTGCAAAGTATGAAAAGCATAACGGTACTGAACTTTCTCACAGAAACCCTAGGATTTAAAGGAAAATTAAGCAATGCATTGTACACACATACACTCTCCCAGCGTACACTAAGCCAATATCAATACATTATGCATGCAGAGTAGCTAGTTCAGATCTGTACAGCCCACTGTTAGCAAGAGCACCTACTGCATGACACCATTACATCACCCTGTCACATTTGTCCCAGTGGTAGAAGTGACAGATCACTCACTCTCTGCTCACCCAACTCCACAGCAAAGACAGGATCTTAATCCTCCGCCCTGTCCACAGCCCACAGTAGAGAAGTGAGTGAGCACAGGAGCTGAGGGCCATGTGTGAATGGAGGACACAGCAGGGTCCATTGAAGAGAAGAGACATAGAAACTGAGTCCTCAGGGATATGTCAGGGAGAAACTCAGGGTGCCAGAGCATCAGGAATGGGTGCAGAGTTCAGGGTCTCGGCACATATCCTTCAATAAATATGATGACCACAGACAAGAGATCTAATTAACATCTGAAATGGAAGGCGGGAATGAACAAAGCCAAGCTCAAAGAGTATTATTATGCCAATATTCTGTGTGTGTGTGTGTGTGTGTGTGTGTGTGTGTGTGTGTGTGTGTGTAGGCCAGGAATCAACACCTGGAGTCTTCCTCAGTCACTTCCCATTTTGTTTTTTTGAGACAGAGTCTCTCTTTGAACCTGAAGCTCACCTGGCCTGCTGTCAAGGGATTCCTGTGTCTCCACCTCCCCAGTGATGGGCTTACAGATGTGCACAGCTGGCCTTTGTATGGGTGCTAGGGATTAAACTCAGATCTTCAAGTTTACACGGCAAACGCTTTAGCAGCTGGGCTATCTTCCCACCTCCCTACCTGGGGTCACTTTAAGTTGTCATTTCTGGAACAACATAGTAAAGAAAGAAAACTACAGCCAGGTTAGGCGTTGTAACTCATATCTGGTCATTCCAAATCCTGGAAAGCTGAGGCAGGAAGATGACCTCACAGCCAGGCTGGGCTACAGTGTGAGACCCTATCTCAAAGAACCAAAACCAGAAGATTCAGCCTATAAGGGATGCATGGAGACACCACGGCAAAAGGCTGGCTCTGGCTGTGAGGGACAATTCCTGGAGTGGCCCAGCAGTACCTTGGGACATAGGCCACCATGAAGCCATTGCCCTAAGCAGAAAGGGCGAGCCAGACCTCGAGGTAGACACAGGCATTGGGGGAGGGGGGACAGGCACCTAGTGTGGGCTGGAGCAGACTGTCCATACTTGGTCTCTCTCTCCCACCCTGCATGGAAAAGCTATAGTTTGAAGACTTGGGAAGATGCCAGAGCAGACTAACAAGGATGACAAATTAGGCTGAGCTATGACATGAGCGCCAGGCCACCTCTCCCCTTGCAGCCCTGCTTCGATACCCTCGGGTTTTACTTGCTGGATTTCTCAACCATGAGACAGAGTCAAGGATGAGTAACAGCCTGGCCCTGCACCACTCTCTCTCAAATTTATGGAGGCATCTTGGGAGACAGCACCTTCTTCCCTCTCCCCACAGCCACTGCGTGGGGAGAGTCTAATTGATTTCTGCAGCTGCCTGATGATGCTGTGCTCGGAAGCTGTTGGCAGTGGTGTCGGTTAGGGGGTTGGGCTTTTTGTTTTTATATTTGTGTGTGTGTGTGTGTGTGTGTGTGTGTGTGTGTGTGTGTGTATGCGCATATGCATGTGTGTATATTTGTGCATAACACAGAAGACAAAGTCTGTGGGATTTGTTTCCTTTCTCCCATAATGCAGGTCCCAGGGATTGAACTCCATCCCTCAGGCTTGGTGGCAAGAGCTTTTTACCTGCAGAGCCAAATTAGCAGCCCAATTTCTAGAAGAGAAGCAAAATCAAGAACACTGTCATTCTGCTTTGTGGCCAGGAACCCGAGGGCTCTGGGCAGCTGGGAAGAGTCTTTTCCTCAGTGATAAACTATCACCTTCACCTTTCAAAGCAACAGCAAGCCCCCAGGCTCAGGGGCCAAGAGCTGGGTTCTGTTGACTGCACATACTCCAAGTCAGGACACTCTTGCTGCCCCAGTGGCAGAAGCCAGGCCTGGCCTCGTGTGGCAGGGACCCACAGCAGGATGCTCCTATCCCACTGCCAGCTCCCTTCCTTCCTCCTGGTAAGGACATACCTCACATCTGATGCTACAATCAACACAGCTGAGAGCACTGCCACATCCACTGTGTGCTCAATCGCCCCAGGATCTTTCTTCCTGTACATAAAATGGGTAAACTGAGTCACAGAGTGACGTCCAGAATAGTAGAAACTATACCTCTATCAGAAATGTTCATGTCTTGTCAGCCAATGGACAACTGTTAGTGTCAACTGCAAATCTGTACCCAAACACCTCTCTTTGGGCCTGGAGTAGTGTGTACACAGATCTGTCTGTCTGCCTGTCTGTCTGCCTCTCTCTCTTCTTCTTCTTCTTCTTCTTCTTCTTCTTTCTCCCTCTCCCTCTCCCTCTCTCTCTCTCTCTCTCTCTCTCTCTCTCTCACACACACACACACACACACACACACACAGACACACACAACCCACTGTAAAAGCAAGTGTGTGCTGTGTATAGGTGTGTATATGAAGTCAAGGCAGAGGCTAGTAGTGAGGGCATGTGTGAGTGTGCATGTAAGCCTGCATACACGTGTAAGACACAAGTCTAGTCCCCACTCCTGGGGACTGCTGGTATGAAATGAGCACAGGAAAGACACAGAACTTCCCACGTGTATGGTCAATATAAGAGTAATAAACCCCACATCTAGAAATCCGGTGTGTGCCTGTGTGCTGGCCCCCCTACCCCTCCCCCCTGCTACCAGCCCTTTCCTCAATGCCCCACTCAAGCAGAGTTCCCTCAGTGCTGGATTACGTTCTTTCTCTGGCTCCTCCCTCAGCCTCACTCTCTGACCTCCATTTTCCCAGCCTGGCTTACTTTTCTTCAAAACAAGAAGAAAAACCTCCTTGCTTCCTTAGGGAGTGATAAATTCAAGGATTACAGAGTGACCGTCTGTGATCCGAAGATCTCCAAAAAAAAAAAAAAAAAAATTCAGGAGGACAAAACGCTTTAGGGGACAACTTCACTGGTAACATTGGGAGGTTCCTTCCCCGGGGAGGTCAAGGCAGTGATCTCCTCTCTCCTGCCTGGGGCAAGGAGCTCAAGTCCAGCCCAAGTCAGTAGCAGAAAGCTCAGGTCTCCAGACACCAGGGTGAGTCTGCCTAGTCAAACACAAAGCCTCAGGGTCCCGGGGAGGGAGGACTGCTGTCTGCAGATGGGGCACAAGTTCCCCTTCCTAAGCAACCTCTTCCATCTGGAACCCATCTGCCTTTCCTTCCACCAAACCAGATCAAGAGGAGGAGCTGTAGTTCTTCGCCCTCCTGCCCCTAGCTAGAGTGGTAGCCCAGGGGCAGGCACAGAGTCAGCTTGACCTTGCCTTAGTCCCCAAGCACACGCTAACTCAAACTGACCTGCACTTTTGGGTCCTTAGACACCTCAGCCTCCTCCTCGGCAAGATGGAGACCAAGTTGTGAGGATTAAGTAGGCAGGGTGGGCACGCTGGGTGCCTGAGAAGGAACTGTCCTCATTGGCATCATAGCTGTGAACTTAAGGCAGCTGTCACTCCTACATCCAGACTGCCCCAGTGGCTCCCTCTCCTTCAACAAGCCCTACAGGCTTTTGGCTGGGTGTGATAGTGTATGCCTTTAATCTCAGCACTCAGGGAGATAAAGGCAAGCAAGAGGGCTAGCCAGAGCTACATAGTGAGACCCTGTCTCGAACAACAATTAAAAGCTGTAGCTTTCAGAATGACATTCAAGGCCCTATGATCCCAGTCTGGTGACCATCCCTGGGCTCACGTCCCTCTAGGTGAATGGGCCTTTAACAGTCTTACGGGCTGGTACTCCAGGGCCTTTATATCTTGT